CACCAAGGGGCATCGGTACCTCTGTGTAACGGATGCTGTGCAAGGACTCAGCCGGAGCTATAAATACCACATTAAAAACATGTAAAAAGAGAAAAGTTTTTATTGGTTATATACTGTAGAGCTGACAGTGTTTGAGTCAGGAGAGACATGCAGATAAAGTGTATGTTTACATTTGGCATGCAGACTAAGAGCACTGTGTAACTGGAAGGAGGTGAGCACCATCTGTGTCCGCTGCATGGGCAGCCTGGGGAGGAAAGAGCTGGCTTCCCTCTACAAAGCATGCTGAGACAGGGAGAGTTTTGAGAAGGTGAAACAGTGCTGATAGCTCTATTGGACACAAAGTTTGTTTTAGGGAAATAGGCAATACTGTAACCCTGGAAAATTTTCTTAACTTGGATGTGTCTGTGATTATGAAAAGATTTCTTCCATTATTTGTCTTCTAACTAAGCTGTCCCAGCCCAAATATATGTCTGCAAATACAAAAAAATAGATTTATTCTCTTAAAAATACATTCCATGCAGCCTGGAGTGCTGCTTCCACAAGGCAGGAGCCTGCACTGCATGCTGGGCAGCATAGGAAGATGATCCTTTGGGTCCTTAGGCTGCTGACCATCAGAGGCATCTGCAAACAATGGCTTCATGTTTCATCACATACGTAGCAGTCCCGTGGAGTCTGGCCTTGGAGCAGTGCTTTGACCACTCCAGTGATGTGCAAGGGTGGCAGAGATGAGGTCTGCTATATTAGAGATGACACCAATGAGATTATTGCTTCAATCTGTAGCTCAAGTGTCTCTTGAAGCACCAAGGTGCGCCACCCTGCCCTGTGCTTCCTGCTCTTTTACCTTTACCAGAGGTACAGTCTGCAGGAGGACTGTGGGTCTCGCCTCTCTGTGTCCACTGAGCTGCAGGTTGACAGTGTACAGCGCTAGTGGATGCTGCTGTCACTGGAGCAGCTGGAGAGGTGTTGCTCTGCCTGCTGCAGCGCTGTTTCTGGACACAAAGGAAGCCACTCCATGAAGCAGCAAGCTGCTCACTCCTCAGACTGCTGCCAGCAAGCTGCTGGCTCTCCAAAAGGGACCAGCGTCTCTGTTTCCTTGGGAGAAGCGAGCACTGACACACTTCCTCTGTACAGCAAATACATTTACAACTTTGGAATTACCCGAGTGCTTGATGCGCAGCTTCATGCATCAAGCCCACTGAAAAGCCTGTTATATTTATATGCTAAAATTACAAATACTTCTTCAGTGATGGCAATATTTACACATATACTCTATTTTACAGCTGTTCAAAAAAAAGTGTGCAATTTGAGTAAAACACATTGTGTTTCCTGAAGTCATTGCTATAAGTTTCATAATACAATCAGCTCCTATTGCACTCATGATTAGAGGGCATGGCCCCTTTCAATTTTAAGGTGAGTTTTCTTTCTCAGATTTAGTCTTGGTTGTGGCAAAAACAACCCAGTGTACAGTTACTGAGTGACATCTGTGTTCATTATTTACAAGCAGTGGGACTGAGTCTAGAGCAAGAGTTCATGGTATGTGCTGTAAAATACTGAACAAAGGACTGAGGCAGCTGGAGAAAGGAGGGATGTCACCTGTGAGATGCACCTGAGGAGAGGAGACTGCCAGAAGAGCTGCTGGGTCAGTAGCTGGGGCTCTGGCTGCATGTGGTGAGCTGGCTGAGCAGCAGGGTGAAGCCCTCCCGTTGCCTGTGGCTAAGTAAAGGCCTGGTCCTGGCTGACAGAAGGGGAAAACCAACAGCTATTGCTGCTGGTGGATTTTTCCCTTGCACTTCAGACATGGGCTTGTGTTACTGGGATGAGCTGTGGGGTTCAAAAGCAGATTGGTAAGCCAGAGTTTTGTGGGCAGGTACAGGGAAGCATGTATTAACACAGCACGTCTTAGGGATGCAGAGCTTTCCTGGCCAGGACTGAAACCAGTTTCCTTGGAAGGAGCTTTGGAAGCACTATGCTAAGCTGGATCCACGTCAGGAACGTGAAGAGAGAGCCAATGGATGCGCACAGGCACCCAAGTGTCCTGTGAGATGTGGACTGCTGTCCTGCAGCAGGATGGGATCATCACTGGGAGGAAAGCCATACAGTCACTGCTCAAAGTGATCCTCATCCTCTTGAGTGTGTATGTGCTGTCCGGCTGTTTGTACAACTAAGCTGCCAGTCCTGGGCACCGTGATGCAGGGGTGGGGTGGGGGGGGCTCCTAAATGTGCTGCTTCTCTGTGACACTGAACTGCAATGGCAAGCAGGGGCGTTAGCAGTGGGTCTTCCACAGTGACTGTAACTGGGTGTATACTATACAGCTGGAGAGCTGCTCAGCAGCAGGTCTGGGAATGCAAACAGAAGTAAATAATTACTGTGCTGTCTGAAGGGGCAGGTACCTGCCAAGACACTTCCAAGATGAGAACTCCCAGGTTCAGCAAGCAGGTGCTGCAGGAGGCATTTGGACCGCTTGCGGGAGAGCAGCTGCACTGGCTTGGAGCGGGGTTTGCAGCAGTGTTTCCCATGCTACGGGTGGAAGAGAACCTGAGGCAGCGTGTTGAGTTTTGAAGGGAAATACCTTCTTTAAAATGAAAATAAGGGGCAAAGAGTCAGAACATAGCATCCTGAGGCTGGCAGAAGCTAGCAAGCAAGGCAGCCCTGTGAGAGCCCTGCTGAGATGCGGCACTTCTGGTCAGGATGCAAGTCTGTTTATCAGCCATGGAAAGCCTGAAAGGTTGCATGACGAGGCAAGGGAAGCTGACGCTGTTCAAGCCATCAGTCCCAGTAATGTTTTTTTGTGTGGTGGTGGTGATCCTGCCATACAGTTAACCTCTGAGCACAGCAGGGCTCTCAGGGTGGATATTGCAATTGCACAAGCTCATTAAAAAAAATACTGTGGTTTCACATTGCAAAATGTCTACTAATTTTCAATATTTCTTGATAAACATGGGGCAGGAGGAGGCATTTCAGAAATCTGAACTTAACTTCAGAATTTCAGTTTCTTTTACTTTTAGTTTGGATTTTGAGTTAAAATTTTTTTTGCCATTATACTTGATATATTTATCCCATTCTCTACTAGCACTGCCATGTCATGAAATGGTAAGAGATAGCAGTTAATATAATTTATTTTAATATAATTTAATTTTAAGATTATTAGAGCTGCCACTTAGTACTAATTTAAAAGCATTATCTTTTTGTCTTGTTATGCAACTTGACACTTATGCATGTCATAAAATATAAAATAATAAATGAAGGGTTAAAAAGATAGATTTGGGAAACCATCTAAAAATTGCAAAAAGGAACACTTTTTCAAAAATAATTTTTCCCTTCCTCCAAACCATCTTTATTAACAACAATAAAAAAAAGTAATCGAAACACTTTCCTTTTATATAAATGTTTTCATAGGTATTTTCCAACTAGCTCTGTTTTTTTGATTCACTTGCCTCTCAGAACTGAGGCATATAATTCCAAGGGACAGGGAGGAGACAGGGCATATACCTGTCCATGTTATGGATAGTCACACACACACTGCTCTGGTAGCTGCTCGTCTGGAGGGTGAGAGGTGGGAATGAGTGTCAGACACGCGAGCTGGTGGGTTGCAGCTGTTCCTGCTGCACCTCCAAAACAGGTAAGGGACCTTCTCCCTTCTGCAGCACTGTCCTTGTTCCTCTGCAGAGAGGGGTGTCTGTTTTCAAGTGGCAGAAGAAAACACTAGGGGGAGGTCAGTGGTGTTTGTGTACAGGACAGGAAAAGCGTGAGTGAGCCTTGCAGCTGAGTGGTGGGATATAAGGGAAGGACTGGTGGAGCTCCAACTGAGTGAGCCAGATACAGTCAGTCACCTTGCTCAGGGCAGATGCTGCCAACAGCTGAGCACCTCTTGGAGCTGCAGAGGCAGTGTGTCCACCAACAGTGGTGCCACCTGCACTCGGTGGCCTGTGGGCATGGGCAGGGTAACGTACCTCTGTATTTGAAGCAGCCTCTGACCATACCTGACTCCCAAATATAGTGATAGGGTGGTCCTGAAGAGGGGCACAGACCTAGGCTGCCTAGGTATCCATACTGGAGCTCAGCTTAGGGCACAATCCTGCTGTCTCCACCCTGTTTTTTTGGAAGAAACAAGGACATTCTGCCTGTCTGCAAGGAAAAGCACTTGTTTCTTTTTCCCTTAGGGCTCAACTGCTGAGAATGAGCAGCAGAGTTGTTGCCTGCAGGGCGTGATGGACTTCAGGTAAAAAAGCACCCCAGCCTAAGTCAGGAGGAGGTTTCACTGCTGCGCGAACTGCTGTTGGTTTGGCTCAGAGGATGACTTCTTGTTGCAAGATCTCAGCTGGTGATGAGTAGGTCATGCAAAGCTTGTTGCACAGACTGACAGCAATAGGGAAGAAACTGCTTCTAAACACCACCTTCTGCTCTCCTTCCCTCTTAATGTGTAAAGCAACCAGTGGGATGTGGTTTCCTCCTGCCTAGACACAGAGGGTGCTGGGAACACAGGTACTGAGGTGACCACAACCCAAGCCAACCAGGGTGTATTGGGAGAATGCAAACTCTCCCTAGGAACTGAATGCTTTCAGTTGTGGAGCCGTGTAGGACAGCTGTCCTGGGCTGGTGGACTGTAGTCACAGGGATGCTTCTGGGACCTTGTCTAAATGCAAGTGATTAACAAGCAGTTCTCTCTTGTCCAGGGAGTACCATTGTTCAGAGTGGCTATGCAGTCAAGGTTTCCATATGGAGACAGATCTATCATCCTATGAAGGAGATTAAGATTGCAGGTACAGAGATGAGAAGTGGGAGTCCCCTGAGCAAAGTCTCTGCAGCTGCCTCTTCAGCAATGAAGAAAAAGAATTCACTGGTAAAGCTCCTGTACCTTGCAAATTGCATTAGAAAACTGGTTTCAGGCTAGCTGAAGCCTGTGGAGAGGCTACAAACAGGTGTGACGCCCTTGAACTTGGTATTATCCTGCCTCTTGCTCCACTGTGCAGTGTGTTCATTGAGTGGAAGGGAATACAACTCATCTCCGAGATGTTGTCCGGCAGGCACGGGAGGCACCCTGTAAAAGACAACCCCGCAGCATCACAGACTGGCCAGGGCCCGCAGCTGCCTCTGGCAGCAGTTTTGCTCTGGGGAAGAGTATCATGATTGTCCTTAGGCAGCCATGCCAAAGCCCATCAGGATGCCTGCCCAATGGGGCAGGGGAGGATAGTGGCAGGATCATTTGAAGATACAGGCTCTGTCAGCATGTAAAAGCAGAATGACCCAGCCCTGCCCCACATAGGCAGGGCCTATTATCTTTTTTTGATGCTGTAGCATACCCAGCACCTACTTCCACACCTGGCATGTGGATCTGGCAAGTGAGATGTGCAACACCTGACAGCACAGAAGAGATGGAGCTGATCTAATGTACTAATCTGTATACAGATTACTGTTACAGTCGGTGGAGGTCTGGGCAAGACAACAGATCCAAACGATGTATATGTTATGGTGACCGGACTTTACCCAAGTTTTTATTTGCTGCTGTACAGACAAAGGAAGCACAGCAGAGCCTCAGGTACAGGAGTCTCCATCTGGCCAGATGAATGTCCCCGTGGGTGACAACCTCTCGGTGACCACACAGAGCATCACTGTGGAGTCCCCTTCCTCAGCTACCAACAGGGACAGGGTCAGTTCACTGCTCTCTACTGCAAGCATTACCTGTCTCTAAATGCCAGTCTGCAAAGCTCAGCTGGGACCATGTCCCTCTGCACTCTTAATTTTGTGCAACTTCACAGAGAGGTATGACTACGTAGGGCACTCAGCTGCCTCGCTGCAGTCCTGCTGCTCTCACATCAAGACTAAGCAATTCTTGTGCACATCCAGTAAGATACACTGACAGCAGGTTTGAGGTATTAAGATTTTTCCTGCTGTGGGTGATCCATAAATGGAAAGATGCACTTTGCTCTGGGCAGCTGCACAGGCGAAGAGGGAATGGCAGGAGAAAACGGAAGTCCTTTCTACAGACATAAGTGTAGCTGTGCACCTAAAAATTAAAGGCTGCCTGGACCCCTACCTCCTCTGAAGGGAGTCCCCTGTGAAGAGGCTGGAATATTTTTTTCATATTTATTTTCATATTTTCATGTTTTTTCATATTTCAGACAATAAGACATGGTCACTATAATGTGGGCCATTGTCCACTTCTTTATGTGTCCAGAAAGATGTGTTTTAGGAGGCAGAGCAGCAGGTATGTAGCGGCAGACAAGCACCCTAGTAGTACAGCAGCCAGCTGAAGCAGGAAAGTCAGGGGCTCTGATTATGTCTCTCCGATGATTTTTCTATCCCTGATTGTCTAATGTGTGCCAGGGGATGACTAAATGCTGTGCCTCTTATTCCCTGGAGAAAGTTTTTAGCCATAAAGCTAGCTGAAACAAGTTCAGGACAGAAAAACAAGGTAGTTCATTTTACCAGTACAGGCAATAAGAATAATTTACCAAGGCAATACAGTAGACACTCCACCTCTGGGCAATGCTAATTTAAGACTGGATTTCTCCTAAAAGGTTTACATTCATTTGGACAAGTTCTCTGAGTGATGTTACTGGGAGGTCAGTTCAGATATTGGCTTCTTGCCGTGTGATGGTCCTTGAACTCACATACCTGCTCCTCTGCTTGGAGACCCGGTGGAGCATGTGGGTTGGATTTGGGGTCCTGCAGCTCCATCTTAGTGGCTGGCCTTTTCCCTGGTGTGTCAACCTGTAAGAGGTACTCAGAAGAGCCATGTTGTTTTCTTCTGGAACTGGGCACAAAATCTTTGCTTTCATCCTGTGTGAAGGAAAATAAAAGAGGGTTGGGACTCAGAGACTATGAAGAGGTCTGGAATTGCTCTGGGTTTTTGGTCCTGGGTTTGCAGTGCAAGGTGCTGGCTTGAGTCCATTTTGCAAGGGCCACCAGGCCAGCTCTGGCTTGTCCGTGTGGAGCTCAGCATGCTCCATGGCACCGCAGAAGGTGATGGCACCCCAAAGGACAACCAGCTGCTCACCAACAAGTGCCTGGGAAGCTGCTCTGAACAGACTGGTGACCCCCTAGGATTCGCACAAAACAGGAAAGAACCCTTGGACAAGGTTACTGAGGTTCAAGGAAAGATGAAAACAGTGATGTGGCATGGCTGGCTGCTTAAGTAGACACTTATGTGGCATCAGCCAGGGTGAAATGGTGATGGATGCACTTTCTATTAATCCCTAAGCAGAGAAGGGGTGAGAGGCAGCACATCCCTGGATACTGTCAGTGAAACTTTTCCATGAGACCCACCCACCATAAGAAGGTACACATAGCTTCACTTTAGGTTTTTACCTAACTTATGCAGCACACAGTTCAGTTCCAGTCATATTAATGTCACAGGCACAAGAAAAATAAATTCATCTTGCCTTGCTGCCTACTCATTTGCTCGCTTCCTGCCAGTGCCTTTGGACTCATTCAGGCATCGCAAATTTTCAGCAGTCAAACATCACACCAGAGAAATACCAATTTCATTACCTGAAACACAAAGCCCAGCAGAATGACTGCTTGAGGTCTTGCATCTCCTGATGCCTTCTACGAGAGCCCGACGAAGGCTGGCTGCAAGCACTAGAGGGAGCTAGTCCTCAGGCTGCAACATCCATCCATCAGCACCTATTGCTTTCTAGGTCTCCCAAAGCAGCGCTCCAAAGAGCTGCTGCTTCTGTAGCACAGGTATTGCTAAAAGCTGCTGATACCTCCTGTAGCTTCATTAGGGACATTTGCCTACATCAGCGGTACAAAAACAGAAGGCTGAAATTACACCTTGTGCCATGGCATGTCCTTGCAAGAATTATTTCCCGGTGCTCAGTTTGGGTCTGTCCTGAGGGACAGGATAAGAGGCAGGGGCCAAGCTTCCAGCTTGCTTTAGGCTCCGGCTTTGCTGCAGCAAATGGTCAGACATCATGAGTATTTCATAGAAGAGAAGGAAGAAGTATATTGGCAAAACCAGCACAGCCCCTGTGTTTCCCAAATAGGATTCTTAAGGCAATCTCAACTTTGGGTAGTGGAGCTATGGTGATATTGAGTGACAGTGATGCCTTCACAGGAAAGCTGAATGTGCAAAGTCAGCACAGCTTGGTGCCAAGCCTTCTGCCAGAGAAATAACTACATCTTTAACTGAAACACAAATCCCAGCAGAAACAGACTGCTTGTGATATGACACATATTATAAGCCTGAAGATACCCTTTAAAGGCAGATACTTTGTTTTTTTTTCAAGGGCACATGCAGTAATTTGAGCTGCCCAAATACATGAAATTTGGTATATCTGAGTATCTGCAGTCTTTCAGGGTAACTTGATGCTCCTCGTTTACAAGCTAAAACTATACTTAATTTATGACCAAGAATTCAGATTTGTGACTATGTGGCATCGAGGTGATTTTATTTTAAAAGTATAATGCAGAGATACCTAACTGAATACTCAACAGTCCTGTGTGAACTAACCATGCAATCACTTTCCTGACTGCTTGTCACTGCAGATATGGGCAGGGCTAAGCCAGCTAATTCATCAGGGATACCCAGGATGGCCATGCAGAGGTCAGGTTCCTCTGTCAGGTACACCTCACCTGCTGTTGTAGGCACACCGCATAGCTAGCAAATTTGATCTGACAGTGACCTTGAGACTACCTGCAGAACGTACTGCAGAGCTACACTCAGCCCTGGGTGGGTTGCTAGGGGGAAGATGGGAAAGAAATATCTGAGTGCCCATTCTTTAGGACTCCATGACTGACAACTTGTGAGTGCAGCTGCAAGTGGAGAACTCCCCAGCTGTGAGACTTGAGGTTGTGAGTGCTGTGAATTCAAACTCCTGGGATAAAGGGAGACGCAGGGATGGACCTCCCCCTTCCCAATCACATTAAGTTGCCATTATGCAAAAGGACAACCTCAGTCATGTCAGTTCTGCCTGAATTCATGAAAGAGAGGTGCAGACTGCCAGTGACCCACGAGTGACCCCAGCCAGGGAGATGATCTTGGCTTGGAACTTCCCACCCTACTGGTGGGACAGAAGCAGGCGTGCACACACCCTTGTCCCCATGATTTCCATCACCTGCTTCAAGCACGGTGTCTGGGTGATGCAGACAGAGAATTTAGGTTGCTCACTGGTGCTGATGAATGTCAGACATCATGCCTTAGGTCCCTGATGTATCCTACGTGTCCAAATGTAGCTGGAAGGCCAACCTGCGCTTTGTAACACCAGGCAACAGAATCTGCAAAGCAAAGCAACGGTGCAAATTCTTCTGTGCTTCTCATTGCCAGAGAAGTGGAACAGACGTTTTGCAAGTGTAAAACTCCTTTCACATCTTCACAACCTCATCTTTGTCAATGCCAGAGTCATTTGGTTATGATTCTGTCCCCTTTGCCACAAGCCCTGTCAGATTACGCAGGTGGCTCTTCCTGGAGACTGGCAACGGCAGCGGGTGCTTACAGCAGCTCTAAATAAAGAGCAGAGGCAGGAGCTGCAGCAGGAACCAGCATGTGGTTTAATAAACTGGAAGGGCACTCAGTGCCAGTGAGCTCACTTGAAATATGCTGGAGCCTGCAACTCTGGTGGGAAGTATAGCTCAAGTCTGCATGTGTCAGCCCTGCTTTGAAGGACTCCCTTCACTGGTACCAGCCAAAGGAACAAGAAAAGAGCACAGCCATCCCTGTGGCTCTTGCTTCTTTTCAGGTGGCATATTGACCCAGACCAAGAAGGGAGCAGCCCTGTGTAACCAGCCACCATTCACCTGTTTAGGAGATGCCCGGGAAGCGTTTCCAGTCTAGCTCTGAGCTCTGATTTCACATGGGGAAACCACACAGGTCACCAAAAAGAGCTATATCTCTACAACTGCCATTAGAGCTCTACCTGAGGCACAACCCTATTAAAATCTGCTCATTTCCATCATTTTTTCTTTACTATTCCAAATTGACAATGCCATGCAAAGCCACTCTGCAAAGCATACCACGTCCTACATAAGCTGTGACTATGTCTTCTCTGATCTTGGCAAGACCAAATGCTGCTATATAGTTATTCACATGGGATTACAAGACCCAGGCAGATGGATCTAGTTTCAAGAAGTCTAAATCAGGTACTTCACATATGAGATGCTCCACCAAAGATAGCAGGAGCTGGGAGAGGAAATAAATTCAGGAAATAAACTGTAAGAATTTCAAATCGCGCACCCTACAGCTAACAGACAACTTGGAAAACCACAGCAACTGAAAGACAAGTGTGTTTAACATAGGATACTTACAGGTAGCGTGGTCCGATGCCAAGCAGAAGCCGCTGTAGGATCACTTGCATAGCTCCTGCATGTTAGCAGTTCAGATGCACTTAAGTTACTTTTGGTCCTTCGGGACCCCAGTTCAGGGGCACTCCGGGAATTAGCCGTGGCACTGGGCCTTGCTGAGGTCTGCTCCAGGAAGTTTGTTCTTGTACTGTTCCCTTCCACTTCTGAGAGGTCCACTGAGGACTGACACAGGTTTGTAGTACTGGAAGCTGCACTTTTCCCCACTTTGGTTAGAGAGTCCTCCAGGGAATGTAAGCCTTGTCTTGTTCTCCAGGAACTTCTCACAGTGACGTGTTTTGTTTCAGGTGAAGCTGCATCTGAAAAGCCATGGCTCTTCCAGCTGATTGTCTCTGAAGGCGGCTCACTGTTCCTTTCTGTGAGTTCAGAAGTCTTTATCATAATGCTGCTTCTGGAGACCACTGTTTCTGCTTTACTTCTTGGTGCTGCCTCTCCAATTTTGTCCGCCTCAGGTAATTTCAGAGCACTTTTATTAACTGATATCTCAAAGGGCGTGGGGAGATGGTTTGCAACTGGTGAAGGCTCATTTGGAGCAACTCTGATGTTGCTGGTGGCAACATGCCTTTCCTTTGCTGCTGTATCTGCACTGGTCCTTAGAGCTGCTGACTCAGAAGGGAAGATTGTGATGCTGCTTGTCATTTTATTTGTTACCGTTTTAAAAACAGACTTCTGTTTTTCTGACTCTGCCTCTGAAACAGTCCCTCCCATGATTGCCTTCATATCCTTTTCAACAATTGCAGGTTTAATGACAGCTTTTGATCTCAAAGCTTCTCTTGGGCTGAACGACCTTCTGGATTTAAATTCTCCAGTGCTGGCATCTGATGGCTTTATACACTTTGTGGAGTCTTCATCATTTACAGTGTTTTTGTCATTTTCAAAAAGTGATGCTCTAAAAACTCCCCTGGAATTGGAGAACTGCTTGGAACCAACTTTCTTTCTTGTCTCAAAATCTGACTGAATGGTTGCTTTTTTGCTTCTTCCCCATTCTTCATCTGAGTTAAGTTTTTCCTGGTTGCTCTGGATGGTTTTGGAGTCCGTTTTTAAACCAGCGTTTACGTGATCCATTGCTGAAGCTGAATACTGCTCCTTGTCTTCTTTATCAAGACCTGTGAGAATCTGCAGAATGTCTTCCTGACTCCTGGAGTGATGGGAGTGCTTTGTTAGCGTTGAAGGCTTCGTGCTTTCAGGATATGTGTTTGCGAATTCTTTTTCCTGAGAGATTATTGCTCTTTTAGCCCTCCCCTCCAAGGGCTGTTTGTGTGATGCAGTAAAAGTGTTCACTGCGTCTGCTTTAGAGCCAGTGGAGTCTGAGGCCGACACATGAGAGGAGAGGTGGTACCTGTACGCTGAAGCAGTACCGTTGGAAGAGGTGTGACTACCCCTGGTGAGTAGCGTGTTCCCGGAGCAGTCACTGACTTCTGCCTGACTTATTTTCAGTTTCTCAGCCAAAGAAGCCACTGATTCTCCTTTGCTTGACTTTTCATCCCGTGCAACAGCGCTGGTTTGACTGTTGCCACGGAGCACCTGAGATGGCTTTTCAACCTTGGATCTCAGCCCTGCATCAGCAACAGGTTTGGATGGTGATTTCCAAGATTTCTGCTCCTGTGCAGCAGGAGGATATCGGCTGAGGACAGATGGCTGCTCTTTTGATCTCTTCCCCTCGTTCTGCATGATGCAGCCTTCCTTCTGACCAGAAGAAAAAGTGGATTTCTCTTCCAGTCTTTTTGTATCTGTCACAGCAGTGTCTGAAAGGGCAGATGCACCAGATGCTTTTCCTGCTTTTCTGTTCATTAAGCTTGGACTGGGCACCTGCTTACCACTGTGGCTGTAGCTGTCATTACTGACAGAGAAATCTCTGTTCCTTGCTCTTTCCCGGCGCTGCTGGGGTGAGAGCTCCCTTGGCTTGTGCTTAGCAGCTGTGAAATCAGCTGTGACACCTCTGTATTTAGGCCTGTCGTGTTTTCCTCTGCTAGAAAAGCTTGTATCTTCATTTTCGACGTCTCCATTCTCCAGATCCTTCTGTTTCTTAATTTGCATTTTTATTTCTTCTAGCTGACCTGTTAAGAGTTTGTTTTTATTCTGTTCACTTAAGTAACTGTCTTGCAGGTCACTGTGTTTTGCTCTCATTTTTTTAAGTTCTTCTTCTAAAGATTCAAAACGTTTGATCTGAGTTTTGAGTTTCTCAATTTCTTGGGTGAGATCTTTCACTTTGTTGTCTTCCTGATTTTTATTCTTTTGGTTTTCTGATTTATTCCTGGTTTCATTTTCTACGTGTTTCAAGTAATCCACGCTTCCCTTCCTCCTGGTCTCCTTAGAGGGCAATGCAGAAGTCAAGTCATCTTCAATTCTCAAATCATTTCTGTCCAGGAGATTATTTGATGACCTTTCTAGCAAGTTGGATGCATTTCTAGTTTGATCTGCCCTATTTAGTTTATTGTTTTGTTCTAGTTTCTGTGTTAGCTCCTGGATTATTTTTTCATTCTGCTTTTCTCTTTCATTAAAATGTTTTCTTTCAGTGATAAAGCTCAGTGCTAAGGATTTCAGTTTTTCTAACTCGCCTGTTAAGCTCTGCTCAGTTTTATCCAGCCTGTCCTCAGATGCTTCCAGTTCTTTCACTTTCACTCTAAGTATTTCTAATTCTGTAGATATCTTTTTGGTTAAGTTCTTTTCTTCATTGAGGCTAAGACACAACTGCGTACAGTCGTTCTTGCTCCTGCCGAAGGCCTCCTCCAGTTTCTCCAGCTCTGCCATTCTCCTCTGAAGGTGTTCGATTTCTGACTTCAGCTCTCGGGTGAGGCTCTCTTCCTCTTCAAGTTTTTCTTTCATTAACCGGCAAAGCTCTTCAGCCTTCCTAATTTCTTCATCCTTGCCTTCGATCTTCAGCACTCTCTTCCGCAGCACTTCAATGTCAGCCAGCATGCTGGAGTTGCTGCCTTCTGCCTGGATAACTTTGTCCTGGAGGTCAAGCAGCTCATCCTCTGCTTTCTGCAGATTTTTGGTTGCTTCCTCCAGTTCATCAAGGCGGCGACTAAGACTCTGCAGTTTGAATCGTAAGTGCCGATTTGAGGTTTCCTTGTAACCTGTAAATTCTGCCATGTTTATTTTTTATTCCTTTTAGGCGAAAGCTTTGCTTGGTCTGCGTGAATGGTGTGGTCTTTAACACCTTGTGTATTCCTAGGATGTTACCGTTTCTTTGAACAGAAGCAATCTCACCCTGAAAGAAAAAAATGCTTAAAATCAATATAAGAGCTCAGAATATAAATATTCTCACTGTATAAGTTAGACTATAAACGTTTATATGATAACTTTTTAATTAAACACATTTCTGAGTGCTAAATTAGGAGAAATGAAACTGCAGAGAGGAGCTACAGTCCATTTACTTTGGTTATACAGGGTTTCCAAAAATAGCCTGTTCCCAATAGCTGAGGGAAGGCAGGGCCCTCCTCTGCTGCTCTACACAGGCGGTGTGTGCACAACCGGCAGACCCTCACCCCAGTCCTCAACAGGCTGCACAAGCTGCCTATGAGCAAGTTCTTTGGCTGCGGAGCTTTAGGTACATGCAGCCCTCAGGTCCCCGTACATGGACATGGCCACCCAGCAGACACCTCTCTTTTCAGCACGGCACCGGTCTCCTGAAGATGGCTCAGAGATTAAAATTCAGGAACCATAAACAAGACCTGGAAACCAGAAAATGCAACCCTCAGCCATTTGGTGGCCACTGAGGATGGGGTGGGCCCCCTCCCCCGACCCAGTTCGCAGATGGAGGGTGTGAGAGATGCTGCCAGTCAGCACTGCCTATTGCTGCCAGTATTTCTTCTGGAGCCTGGACTGCTCAGCAGAAATCTTCACCTGGGTTGGAGTAACATCCCAAGGATGTTATGCCAATGGTGTTTCAAGTTTCACTGTGCTGTTTCAAAAGCTGTCATTGCCCTTGGCTGCCACCCACTCGCCCACCCAGGAGATGAGCAGTTGGGAATGCCTATGCCTCTCCTCCTTGCTGCTGCTGACAATGAGCAGCGATTATAACACATGGGCACGCTCTGACGCACTAATGTAGCTCTCTTCCCAGCTCAGAGGTGTCAGGGCTTTTTTTAAACAGCCCCTCTGTGTTTGGCAAGGAGTAGCTGGGAGGGGGACCTAAGCAGGCCAGAATGGCCGCTGGGAGGATCTGAAGTCCCTCTTTGGTGCTCAGCGTTAGCATCGTTTTTTCCTGGGCCTGAGGCATGTCCCCACAGTGTGCAAGGGCTACTGCAAACCTGGGCGGGGGGGGGATGGGGACGGACACAGACACACACGACACTGCAGCTCTTTGATCTGCACCCTTGCTCTGGCTGTCTGCCTTGAAGCAGGACTTGGCCTCTAGCATTTTTGTGGAGGTCCCTGCAGAGTTTCCACTCAGGATGTGGGGATGAGACAGTGCTGGTAAGGGAGACTGCAGCGCCCCAACGCAAAGCCTTTGACTGGAGGTGATTCATTTCCTGCCGGGCAGGGGGCCCAGGCTGCCAACAGGCGGCCACCACGCACAGCAGGCACTAGATGCACACCAGGCACCCTGCGACCCCTCTCCCCAGGCATCTCCTGCACCTGTTTGCTTGGTCTCAGGCACCTCAGGCGTGAGAGCAAAAAGGAGCACCGCAATGCACACCCGGAGAGGAACCTCAGCACCCCGTGCGCAGTGGTGCGCCTGGCCTTGGCCACACGCCTGTCCCCTCCCTCACCACTATGACCACATCCCACTCCTGGGCCACCCTCCCTCATGCTGCCCACAGACCGTAAAGGCCACGCAGACCCCGGCCCTGTTGTGCGGCTGCCTGCAGACAGGAACTCCTGGCTGTGCAAGCCCCCGCAGGATCCCATCAAGAAATGTAACTACAGCGTCGCAGCAAAGGCCAAAGCGAGCAGCTTCACAGTGCCCCGAAAACAATGCCCTGCCCCCAGCAGGCCTTGGAGCAGGGAGTTAATGGTTAACCTGGCATTGGCCACTGGTTGGGACACGACGAAGGCAGGGTGCAGCAGGGCTGGCATGCAGCGCTGGGTCCAGGCCACAGCTCCTGCACGTTTGCTCTGCAGAGCTCAGGGGAGAGGGCTGTGTGTGGCCTGCGAGCATCGAACCAGCCAGGGGCAAACAGGCTCTGGCTCCCAAGTGACAGGGTCCTCACCACAGAGACCATGGTGGCTCAGCAAGCTCTGCCACTGGGACCAGTCCCACAGCCCTCTTTGTGGGAAGGGGTGAGAAATGGAGAGTTACCTCCACAGGGCAGAGGGGCTGCTCTTCCCTTTCCTCCCTCTCCTACATCCCAAATATTCCTGCAGCATCCGCTGGCACCTGGATGGAGTAGGCCTTCTCCCTGCATACACTCGGCACCCTGGGGAAGCCCCACCATAGAGGCCAGTAAAGGCTCAAGCTCAGTGAGCAACTAGGTGCAGAAGGTGACCTTGCCTTGAAGACAATGGGCTTCTGCAGACAGAAGAAACAATCGCCCCAGGAGGTGGCGTGGTCCAATGCAGTCTACAGCAGGAAGGAAGGGGGTTATGGGCACAGATCTGTGGGAAGGGACCCAGCATTGCTGGTGAGCCACCCATCTTGTTGCTCCACCAAACCACACTCCTAAAGTTGGTTCCTACAGAGTCTGGACCATGGCGAATAACGTGCCTTTGTGTCTGCATAGGTTAATGCTTGGTGAAGAGCTCAGTGTGGGCCATGAGTCAGGATTTAGACCCTCTGACTACATTGTCACAGCTCATGGGTCATAAAGAGCAGGAGAGGGATGTTGGGACTGAGTCACTGATCTCCTCTATGGATGTCAGAGGCTGCTCAGAGACTGGCTCAGAGGCCCAGAAGAGAACCTGATTTAGGAGGAAACCCTCAAATCCTCGAATGAAGCAGAAAATTGAACTCAGTAATTAATTGCATGAATGAACTACTAGTGGTATCCTTCAAGGGCTGATGATGTTTAATGTCTTTATTAATGACAGAGATGATGGGATGGAGCATGGTCTCAGCAAGTTCATGGACAATACTAAACTGGGAAGGGGGGGGAAGCATGGCTGATATGCTGGAGGGCAGGGCTGCTACTCAGAGGGACCTTGACAGGCTGGAGAAAGGGGTGGACAGCAGCCTCAGCAAAATGAAGTCCGAGTCCTGCTCCTGTGGCACCAGGACAGGCTAGAGATGGTGGTCAGACAGCAGCTTCACAGAAAAGGATCTGGGGATTTCGGGAGAACAAAAAGTTGAACACTGGTCAGCAGTGTGTCCTTCTGGCTAAGAAGGCCAACCATAGACCGGGCCGCATCCGCAAGTGTGCAGCCAGGAGGTCGAGGGAGGTGATCCTTCCTCTCTGTTTGGCTCTCACAAGGCCACATCTAGAGTGCAACATGTAATTTGGGACTTCCTGGTACAAGAAGGACACAGATGTACTGGGCTGAGAGTCCAGCAGAGGCCACCAGGATGGCCATGGGCTGGAGCAGTGGATGTACAAGGAGACACTGAAGGAACTGGGTTTACTCAGCCTGAAGAAGAGAAAGCAAAGACTTTTGCTGCTTGCAGCTACCATACAGGAGTGTGTAGAGAAGACAGTCAGGCTCTCCTCTAAGGCACACAGTGAAAGAAGCTGCAAGAAGAACAATTCCAAGTAGATATTAGGACTTCCCCCCCACATCATGAGACTGGTCAAATACTGGCACAGGGTCCCAGAGAGGCCGTGGGACCTCCATCCACAGAGGTACTCAGAGCTCTACCAGAGGCAGCCCTGGAACTCCCCAGTATCTCCACAGCTGACATGATTTACTGCAAGAGATGAAAAAGGTTCAATCTACTTAGCTTGAGAAGGAGAAGGAGATGCAAAGCAACATCTTCTACAAACAAATATGTTGAGAGAAAGCATCCACGACAAGTCTTCTAGCAGAAGGCCCTCTTGGCATAGCCAGAACTAACCCAGTGCTTGGAATCACAGCCTAAATAAATTAGTATCACAAATAAAGTGCACATTTATAAGACTGAGGGGAATCAGGCAATGTGAAATATTATCTTAGATGTAGTGTTTGCTTTAAGCTGGTTATGCTTTGAGTGAGGGCTTGGACCAGAGACCTCCAAGGGCACTTTCCACCCAAATTGCTCTGGCTGTTCATGACTGTTCTTCTCTAGTCTATCACTGACATCAAAATATCAGAAGGAATGGTGCAGGATTCAAATACTGAGACTATTATTAATGCTAATTAATATTGTTGGGGGATGCTTAAACAGGATTTGTTAAATAAATCTGGTAAGGCAATAACTTGCTCAGCTTGAAAAGGTACTGAACAATCTGACATGGATGTACGGACTTCAGATTTCTCTCTCTCTGTTTTTGGAAAGTGAGCAGTTCTCATCCTAGCCCTATTTTACATTTTTAGGAAAAAAAAAATAAAAACAACCAAAAAACAGGAAGAAAAGAGGATGATAATTTTCCCAAATAGCAAAAAACTGTCACAGTGGCAAATATAATGAGGACAGTTCAGTTAACCAGAGCCATCTGAGTCACTGATAAAGTGAGATCAAAGACTCTGAAGGGCTGTATCCTGGAAACACTGAAAAGGCTTAAATGGTCACAGCAGAAATCTTATCTACAGAAGCAGCTGATGTACAGCTGCAGCTCAGAGGCAGACCCTCTTGGCTGTATCAGTAGGAAATACCAAGTAAAAGTACGACAGTAAAAATGACATTATTTTGTAGGCAGTACTGGATTGTGTATTTATACACCCAAGTCTGATGCATCTCACCTTGCTTAAGTAGTGACACAGAGCAAGAGACACCTACAAACTGCTCTTGAGTCTTCTAGATTCAAAGAGAAAAAGACGCTTGAGTGTCTTCATCTGACCTTCCCAGGGAGACAGGACTTTCCACAGGGGGAGAGGAATCACGCTTTGAGGGATCGTACTCTGCCCACTGATGACGAAGGAAACCTAGACACAGGCTCAGGCACAAATATCTGGATGGTTGTTGTCTCCCCTGGGAATGATGCTCCTCTCTCTCCAGGGGCAATGCATCAAAAACACAAGTGGAAAGTTTGAGAAAAGCTGAGGAAAGTTTTGAGAAAGCTCAGAAAAGTAGTCATGAG